TTACCATCATTCACATATCATATTAAATCTATAATAAAACATAAAATGTCTAGTCAGAAGGCATGTTGTTTAAAATGATAAGATTTACTTTACAAAAGCATGATTCGGGGAGTGTTTATCATTTGTTTCTCAACCAAACAAGCTACTGTACATAGCCTGCCTTCCTTTGCAACCCTTATTTTGTATTCTAACAGAAGTCATTGTTGTAATCGCACTATTTGAATATTACTGACCACCTGTTACCGATACTTTTTCTTTTTGATGCTTGGCTTTTTAAATGTGTGTAAGCAAACCTTGCAGTAAAACATTTTTTTATTTGTATGAGTCACCCACACACACATCCAATACATGCACACACCATAACAGTGGAAGCTGCTTCCTATTTTGTTTAAAAATGGAATATGAACTCGTATCAAGTTTTACGTGAAGCATACTCGTTCATGTCCACATACAAATAAAACAAAATTATATATAACATAGCCATCTAAGTAATATACAAAGTGTGTTCACAAACTTTTCTTTCTGAAACATCAGTCTGCAATTGTTTTTGATTTTTTTGTGTGTGTGGACGGGTGGCTGAGTTGAGATTTGCCTTTGACCTTGTACAAAGTAAATAATTTCCGCCATTGTGTAAAATATTGATTAAAAGAATTACTTTAGTATTCTAACACTTTTGGTGTTTAAATTGTTGTCACCAGATTGGAACTCATCAGTAGGAAAAAAATATTCTTGTGTGTGTGTGGGGGGGGGGGCATCGTGTTATATTGAAGCAATGTATTAACATAGAACACAGACGTAGACGTAACACTGTCCTTTTAAGGAGATTTTCATTCACTCAACCAGTTCAACGAGCTTACTAACTTCAGTATGAACGAATTCGTTCCTGCACAGCACATTATAGAAAAAATACAGACTTCTTAGAATATTTGTCTAAAACAAAGGGCATTTGTTTTTCTGTTTTCAGCGTAGTATCAACATACAGTACTGTATACGAACCTTTACTGGATGAATGTCAAGATCAAGGAGTACTAAAGATAAATCTTGGAAACTCATCTGCTGTTCAATTCCTTAAAGATTCGTTGTTTGAGTGTTCTTAGTCTCCAGTTACTAAACCCCCATCTGATCTAATTCTTTCAGAAAACTAATTTGGAAATATTTGCTATAGCATTAATGTAACCCTTCACATCCAACTGTCAGGGCATCTTTGCACAAGTTTCCAATAAAGTACGTGGTCTTATTCTTCCTATTGCTGTTAAGCTTTATCCTAATGAATACCCGAGTCAACATCGCGAAACCTCAGCCCTCCTAAAGTTGCACGTTACTTGAGCTTTGCCTAATTCCCACAGCGGTTTGCCGTCAATCTATAGCACAGCACCTGATAGTAATTCAGACAGGAGGGAAGACTGTTAAAACTCTACATTATTAACTCCAGCTCTTTGAAACCGTGACTTCTCCATGCTAAAGATTGAAAACTTTTTCTTTTGTTATCCGTGTTTAACATAGATACATTACATATTTTTGTATAGTAAGATTGTTCACTAGAATGTAGTAGATCGGTACTGATACATTTGACTTTTGCTAGTACTGTACGTTGCAGATGCCTACTTCATGTTAAATACAATATACGGACATTATTATTTTTAATGCACAGTAAACATGATTTCTTGATATTTGCTTCTAGAGTTCGAGAGTTGTTAATCTTATTTAAAACTGTTAATTTTAGCTTTAGCTTAAATATCAAATGTGAATTAATATTTTATGTAGCCTATTCATATAACCGCTAGAAATGTCGATGTTAACAGCATTATGTTAATACTTAGATTATATATGCATATATGTCTCACATACGTACAATGAACTTTAGCATCCTAAAAGCATATTTAATAAACTCACAACTCCACAGTAAGCACTCCGAAACATCTTTTATTAGATTATTATTTCTAGAGGCTGAATTCACCGCGTAGCAGATGGTTTCATTTATCTTCTAGCATAAAAAGTCTATACATGGTCTTCAAAATGTAGTTAAACATGTTTAGAAATTAGAAATTAACCCCTCTCTCTTCGCAGTCGTCAATCTAATGAAATTTGTCCTAGAAAGAAATTACAGGAAAACACGTGCCCAAGCACGAAGACTAAGTACCAATATCCGAATTATCAAAACGACAGAGCATCGTGCTATTAGAAAGAAAGTCGGAGTAAAATCCAAGCACAAAATACCAGCAGCTACTGTCATGCCCAAAATTGAGGTACTGGTCTACAATGAACAAATGCCACAGTTGCTGATATGTGTTCCACAGACATTAATTATTGTAGAATAGTTACAGTAACTGTGATGCCTGTAAGGATTACTAAACTCTTTACAGTTCTTTATTTGCAGTTCTTTACGTTGTTTTTATTAAAAACAATAAAGTCTAGTATTCAAGCAACTACAACACCATTCTGTCTTCAAATCAACAATCACAAACACGGTGATGTTTTATAGAAAATTACTATAATGCGTTGGAAAAACATTGATTTCCTCATTGTGGTCTATGTACCTTGTATAGTCTTTACTCCAAAGTTGTTATGATTTTTAATGTGACCAGGCAAAATGCAAAATACGGTACACGTTATACATAGAAAAGGGATGTATACTGTCAGGTTTAGGCCTAAGGTCTCCATTTTATTTAATGAAATAGAAAACCATGAAACAAGCCACAACAAAACACGGAGGTACGCATTTAAATGTATGTCCCTAAGCAGAATTAAAAATCACAGACAAGCCTAACAGATGGAAGGGAATTCTGACCAGGACTGTACATATGGCACAGCAGAATCTTCGACGTGTGCTGAGCCGATGTTGCATTAAGCTGTAAAGAGAACGTCTACCATGCAACTGGTACCCCGCTTATACAGTATGCGCTGAGCTTGCTCATCGGATCCTAATCTTTTTTAAAAAAAACCTTTCACGATTTGCCATTCAGTTTCTTTCAATGTTCCCTTTTGCCTAAAGCACAAAATACTGTGTTTTTTTTTTCGTAAGGTTATTTCAGGTAGAGTGATCTTGGAATAATTTTTGTTCTTCCATAATACAGTGGTTGACGTACTTGAATGCAGAGAAAAACAGAATACAGGTCGTAAACACAAGAGGAAAATTACACTGCTGTTTACGTGGTGTGCAGAAATATTGTTTTTCTAATTTGATCAACTTTTAGTCATGCATCATATGGACAACCATGCAAAGCCTGGAAGAGTTTCGATTTTAGCAGGTTTCGTCCCACTATCACTATATCAATGAAACGTTAGAAATATGTAATGTAACGCTTTGACTTTATCTACCGATAGCTACCAGAAATGTGAACAATTGTAACAGAAAATAAACTAGTAAAACTGAACTTCCACTAAAATTTCAAAATGAAACACGTAGACTACATTTAGGTTGCTCAAACGCCATCTTCAGTGATCAGTTATTTCTCAATGAAGCTTCGCCGCTTTGAACCTTGCAAATAGAACTACCCAGTTCTACTCGTTAAATAAGAAATAGATTGACTGCCTGCTCTGCCACTTTCTTTACACACGGACGGATATCCAGTCAAACACGAAAATTAGACGTTAATAACGCCAATCTGAGGCAAGGGCAACGAGTTCATGCACAGACAACGTTGTTCTTTTTATTTCTTAGTAGTGACTGCACAATCTGTCATATTTGTAGACTATGTGAGGTCGGGGTAGGGAAGTGGGTGGGCATGTGTGTGTGTGGAGGGGTGGAGTGGTGTAGAGCGTGAGGACTTATTAAATATCAGGTCGAGCCATACTAGTATAATTTTTGTTTTTAAACGAGTAGTTTTATATGTCCCAATTTCACATCATTCAGAAGTTGGCAGTGAAACAATAATCGCCAGTTCGCTGGTGCTTTTGAAAACCAAAACGTATGAATCCCAATCGAAGTTCATTTTTGTAACGCATAAATTAAATTATTTGTTTTGTTTTTCTTATATTTGTGCAGTCTTCATCATGTTCCTAGGTGAAAAGTGATCTTTGTCCCGTAGTACTGTACAGGCTAAGTCAGTTATTTGCGGCTTCACACGACTTCACAATTCGGTCATCTTTTGTCTTAAAATGTCTAAAGGTACCCCCCAGTTATATTCTATCGGGCTAATAAAACGAGGTAGAAGTGTTGAGTGATGACCCCGGTGCACGCCTGGATAATCACACTTCGACTTCACACAATGGAGTTAAATTCTAGTCGTGTGCCATTGTCGATCTTTACAAAGCAAAGAGGGCCGGGTGACAGTTCTTGTTAGCCTGCTTGAAGAGAGACTAATAAACCCGCCAAAAGCTTAGACTCTATTTTACCGGGTAGTTTAATGTGTGATCGCCTGCTGTTAATAACAAAAGAGTTTGTGTTCCTTAAACATACAGAATCAAACTGAATTAAGGGCTAATTTAAGTATATTTACACAAGTTAACATTATCTTAGTGGTTGTTTTGATAAAGAAAGGTTAAACAAAACAAAAACGTTTCACTTGCTGTTCTAAAATATGTTTCGTCCCAAGTAGATTTTCTTTTTATGTATTCAAACATTTATATCCCATTAATTTTCATTTAATTTGCAGTGACATCTGTTTATTTTCACTGACTGTAGTAAATGATCAAATAACCAAAAACACATACAATAATATCTAATTCGATATACTGTAAAACTGCATCCACGCTCCAAAAGAAGTAAAATGCCCAAAACCACAATAAAACTTCTCTTATAAGGACAAATCGTTAAAATACATATGTATATGTGCATATACACATGAATATGCATACAAAATATTTATATTAATAAATATATATTACATTTTTTTTAATATCCCCTTAAGGCGTTAACGAAATCGCAAACGAAAAGTCAATTGTTGAAAAAAAATATTCTGGAGAAATAAGACAAAGAAGATCAGGCTAAAATATTTTCGATTTATTTTCTCGGTAGGATAACAATCATACTGATGCAAGTGTTTTCAAAGATAACTTACATTTCTGTTGAAAATCCCAAAAATGTAATTTCGATGGTTTGCCGTGTCTTCAAATAACAGTAAAGAATAATGCGAGGAACTAGAAGTGATCTTGCAAAGAAAACACAAACGACTAAAAAGAAATGTCCACAAAATATCATAAAAAATGTTGAAAGACTACTTGGCTCCTTATTAGGCGAAGATACAATATTTATTCCTTGTCTCCTGGGATGAAGCTCTTCCACTATTGTCCTCCCATTTCTCTATGCTGATGCTTAATTTTCAAAACTTCTATATTACCAAGGGACCTACGACATCAGCTAAAGAAATACCCAGCAAGTACAAAATCTGAACCAGGGAGCTGCTTTTGTGCAGAGGGGAAATTTATTTCATCCAGGTTTTAAGGCTCTGAGAGAGGATTTTTTATTTATTTTTTTTTTCTTGAAAATCTATTTTGGATTTTAAGGGCATTTATCTGATAGAGCGATAAACCGGGTGTTGGATCGCAAAAATGTCAACAACCTTTCCGGGACTGGTTCACGATGCGGAGGTATTTTATTTCATATTTATTATTCACCCACGAAACCGTTATATTTAATTAAAATCTGCTCCAGATAAGGTACAGAATAACAGAAAAATTCGTTATGACATCTGTCGCCAGGAAAGGCACTCCTTACTTTACAACAGTTGCTATAACGTAAATTTCATAATACCATAAAGAATAAATAGCTTTAATGAAGACGATTGTAACAGACATTATGTACTACCCAGGAATTGATGTTAAACTCCACTTGCTTGTATTTTACAAGGACCGATGAGGGTTAACTGTGCATCGGTAAGTTAATAAAATAAAAAGACTGAAATTAGTCATGTTTATCATTTGAAATCTGTTCATATGCATTGCTTACCTGCAAATGAACGAACGGCAGTATGGGGATTTTACCTTTGAGCTACAAAGTAAGGGAGAATTACATAGCATTTTAATCCACTTCAACTCGAATGATAGACATGTAAAATTTTCTTGAGGGCTTTTGGAGAAGTACGTAGGGGTGCTTTACTCTCGTACCTTCCAGGCTTTCAGATATATGACACAGCCATCAGGTACTTCTTAAAGCGGACTTTGAATTGTGTTTGGAAGGCTGGATTTCCAATGAGTTCATTTTTTAGCATGTTGAATTTTTTTTTACGCAGAGCAAACAGACTGCATACTGGTAGCTGCAAGGTATTGTAAATGACATACCTCATATTTTCTTTTTTCCTCTTCTTACAGATACGTCATGATGGATCTAACAGCTACCGTTTGATGCAGCTTGGATGCCTGGAATCTGTGGCCAACTCATCTGTCGCTTATTCTTCGTCGTCGCCACTAACTTACTCCACTACAGGAACCGAATTTGCTTCCCCTTATTTCTCCACAAATCACCAGTATACACCACTTCACCATCAATCCTTCCACTATGAGTTCCAGCACAGTCACCCGGCTGTTAACCCAGATGCCTACTCATTGAATTCTCTTCACCATTCCCAGCAATACTACCAACAGATCCACCATGGGGAACCTGCAGATTTTATAAACCTTCATAACGCTCGAGCCCTGAAATCCTCTTGCCTAGATGAGCAGAGGAGAGAGTTAGGGTGCCTTGATGCCTACCGCCGGCACGATCTTTCTCTCATGAGCCATGGGTCTCAGTATGGCATGCACCCAGACCAGAGACTTTTGCCGGGATCGAGCTTGGGTCTGCCACCGCCGGGAGCCGACGACTTACAGGTAAATATCCTCCCATAAAAATTTAATTAAAGTGGAAACACATCAAACACACGATGTCGGAGTGAACCTACCCTGTGAACATTTTTTTGTAGGGGCCAAAGAGACTCACACATATATGTATACTAATAGAAAGGACGAGTGATTGAGCTTTATTAAAATATTCCATTGGCTAATAGAGGTATGACCATATTGTGCAGCACTTGTTTTAAAAAATGTTTTTAAAATATTTTGATTTGATCATTAATGTACTATAAAACGAGGTAATCAAGGTTTTTAGCCTTTACAGTTATCTTGCTTTTAATACAATTTCTAATAATAATAACAATAATAATAATAATGCACTGTTTCTTTGCTTATTTTTCTTCCTTTCTTTCTTTTGGCATTTGTTTAACCGAGAGGGTAACAATTCACCAGAATTGAAATTGTATTAGTAATTTGCAGCACGTCTGCCGCTTTTCTCTGTACATTTCCCCCTTTCCTCATTGAAAAGCGCAGTATTTTTTTTTTTCAAAAGAAGGGATTAGAGGATTGGGAAAGACCGAACAAAAGGAAAATCCTCTGCAAAAGAGCACCGTAGTTTATCCAATTTTCGACTTAATGTCACTCAACTGGTTATTTATGCAATGTCATCCGATCACGGCAATGTCGATTGAACAAGGGCGTTGACAAACTTTTTAGAGAAATTTAATAATTGTTGTATTTGTTATCCACTTGAAATGCATTGCCAATAATTCGAAAATATACACGGGTAGCTCTAGAACACATCCCTTTAACACTAAAAGGCTGTTTTTCGTGTGTGTTCAGGTATATATTAAGATATGTGACACGAATATGCAGATAGGTTATATTATGTTTTGCTGAGCAGTCATTCACGATCATTTTAAATGTAAAATATTTTATCATTTACAATAATAATTTCTTGGAAGTGTTCTTGCAAGAATACTTCATGTATTATATATATTTACAACAGAATAGAAAGTGAAACTGCGCCAGGTCACGGCCAGCAGCCCGAAGACAGATGAACAGATGCAAGCAGTCTTGTGGCCAGAGTTGCATCTTTCAATCTCCTAAACAGATTTTCCATGCTTAACAAAGAAAACTGTCACACCTTTTCGTAGTCACTAGCTTAATTTATGCTTGATCTCTGAGTTTTGCGTATTGATTTTATAATCACTTTAGCCTTGCAAAATAGGAAAAATAGACCCAGAATTTGTTAAAAAGGCTTACAACATCTAATCTATATGGTATTCTAGATTTTTAAAAAATCAGAGAAGTTATTTTTTTACAATTATTTCGTGGTATACACAACAAAAGTTTAAAACCCTAATAGTGACCATGGCCTATTGGAAGGATTAATTAATTTTAATGAAGAATAATAGCATGTTACTGTTACAGATTACATCTTAGATAAACACGTCTGGATGAGATCATCATCATCACCATTTTATTATTATTGCTGTTGTTTTTGTTGATTTTGTTAGTAATAATATTCAATCGCTACTTTTACCAAAACGGAAAACTCGTGACTTTATTCAAAATCAAGTAACATTTTAGGTATTATTCCTAGTAGTGGGCAGTAGTAGTATTGGGACACAATAAATATCTTACATGAATATACGAGATACGTTTAATGGTTTAATTTAATTAACTTATTACATTTCTATCACTTATTTAGGCTGATACTGTTCATTTCCAATAATTCCTGTTCTTTTTTAATTTGTTTTGTTATTAAAATCTCTCTTCATTTTTTTTTCCAAGGGGTCAGTGGAAACCCAGTGTGGATTAGTCTTAAATGGCCAAGGCGGAGTAATTCGAAGAGGTAAGACTTTTCTTTCTGAAAGCTGGGGTTGTTTTTTCATTCTCTTTCAAACATTTGGAAGCCCAAGTTTAATTTCATAATTGTTGTTGTGACACAACGAAAAACCGGATTGTGCCAGCGAGAAGATTTTGTGTTAGAATGCCAAAATTCAGTTCAAACTTTTAGTTTTCATAAAAAGCATTTCAGACCTAAACCTACTTTGGTTGATTAATCGAAGCAGACAATTGCGGGGAGATAAAACTGCGCATTTCATAAACCAAAACACATTACTAATATATCTAAGATAACTCTAAGAAATCAAATAAATAATAGCAATACTTACTGTATAAGAAACTGGAAAATGAAAATAAAAAATATGTACTGTTGAGTATAGAAATGTTTGGTGTTTTCTAAACACCATTAAACTAAAACGATATTAAAATGATGATAAAACATTAAAAAAAATAATCATGATTATGATTAGCTAGTTAGAGAGATACGAGGAATTTGTATAAAATCTAAAAATAAACCCGACAGTACAAAGAAAAGTCTTATTATTGCACTGTATACAAAAAATCCTTGTTTAAAAGCTCCCAGAGCTGTTGGGAGAAGCGCGGATCCGGGAAAATACGACTTTTAGTCTCACTACATTTAGAAACGTCCCTACAAATAGTCACATATTAAAGCTTTATTAATTCATCTAATTTAATTAGTTCAGTAGCGTGTAAAACTATACACTCATCTTCCCCATATTTTGTTTTTAAACGAATTTGTCTAGAATATTACTTAAAACTACATCAATATGACCTTATATATTATGTAATTATTTTTGTGTGACTAATGATAAACGGTGACATTCTTCATCTGTTAAGCAATCAAAAAGATGAATGACAAACTGTTGAAAACACGATTCCATTTCAAAAAGTATCAACAGTAATAATATTGTAATATTATTATACTACCTATATAGTAAAATAATAATAACGATTTATTTTCAGAACTGTTTTTTTATTAATTTAACTGGAAAAGGCGTGCCTTACTTGTTTAATATAAATGATTGATTTTAGCGCATTTTTTTTGAGTGTGTAGACCTAACTGAAAAGTAATGGTAGGTTTTCACTATGGGATCAATCACAGATTGTATCCCTTTTTGCCTTATTTAAAAAATTCGATAGATATTTTTACAAATCGCCCACTATAGCGAACCGAAAACTGAGAGCAATGATTAAAATCTCTCTTTACAACCTTGGGTATATTATAAAGTTTATACACAGTTTTACATTAATAAAAAACAAAGGATATATCCTGGGTTCTCAATTTTTAATTAACTCTGTCTAGGTGTTGTGCTTTCTTTTGGGCTGGTGCCGGGATCCCAGTGCTATCACTTCCAGTTAATGGTGTGCAGGATTTAGCCCGAAGCTCCACTATTCTAACCATCAGAACCAATAATCTTTGCTTTACCTAGTGCTCCTGTATCGATAGCTTCTCTAGCCTCGGGCACCTGCTTTGATATGTTAATGTTTCTCAGTCCCAAATTCAGCAGAGATCATATTAATGTTGTTCATACAGACTGGAGCTTTGCCTTCGTTGAATATTCAGATACCCTTTTTCAAAAGAAATCACTCAAGAAACGAGGCTCCTATTTAGAGAAGTCGTCTGTGTTTTTAATCATTAGAAATCCCTCTTAGGTTTTAAGAATTTGATCAGGCTTATGCCTATTCTTTCATGTATTACCCCACACTTGCTGTGATATGTGCTCAGTTTATTTATATTTGGGTAATTAAGTTAGCATGTTATATGTATTATAATTGTGTGGTGGGCTCACCTTAAACATGTAAAAAACAATATAATGACATTTGGCCCGTGTCTTTTTTTTCTTCCTTCTGTAAATCTTCGTGGCAAACTCCTAAAAAAGCACTTGATTCGCTTTGTGATCATTCAGCCTCGCTGCCCCAGGCAAATTTCAGCAGCTTAAATACTGCTATAGCCTCTGGGCCATGAAAAGAGGACCAGACTACCAGCAATAGCTCTTTTTCAATTGCCCTTGGCAACATAAAATACAAACTACTTTGAATCAAAACATTTTTGGGGAATTAATATGATCTGAACTCTGCATGCTTTAAGAGATCTTGGGTTTGTCAAATCGCTTAGAGGTGACTGACATTCCAAGGCAGAGGCATTAATGCATAGCCAGAAACATTGTCAGATCTTATTTGATTTAAATGCCTTCTTTTAGGGCTCAGCTTCGATTACGCTCAAATTAAGTATCACATTAACCTCAATTGTACTTTTTCTATTGCCTAATTTTCAGTGAATCTAATTTCAGTCCTTGAGAGTTAGCTTGCCCCGATCAGCTGTAGTGCTCACACTTTGCATTGGTGGAGAACATCTAAGTTGCAATGCGAACCTCTCTCACGAGAGAACCTTATACTACAACGCGTGTTGAAATGATTTGTTGTCATGTTAGGCATTCCCATTTTCTGTCATACGCCGTAGCCTACACACAAATTTGCTGAGGACTGATTACCTGTTAAACGGGCACCTTTAGGCCGCATGCTGCATGCTAACCTGTCACCTACTATTTTTAGTTAGGTTTCTTGTACTTTAACTCCCTTTGTACAATATATTATTATGATTGAAGTCGGCTTTTCTGGAAAAAAAAATACCTGTCCAAAACGTACTACGTCATGTAGTACACTGCTGTAATCTGATTGTGATATAGTGGTACATTGTAAATGAAGTTTGCTTATTTGTTTTCGATGGGTCTGTTTTTGTTGCAGGGGGTACATGTGTTGTTAATCCAACAGATTTGTTCTGCTCCGTGCCAGGGCGGCTTTCGCTGCTCAGCTCAACTTCAAAATATAAAGTAACAATTGCAGAAGTTAAAAGACGCCTCTCCCCACCAGAATGCCTCAACGCGTCTCTACTGGGGGGCATCTTAAGAAGGTAACAAGCGCTTTTATGAACGTCATTTCAAATTATTCGTGTTGTACAAATGTTGATAATCATAATGATAATAATAACATTGATAGTCTTTTGTATTAGTACAAGTACTGTAAGTAGCTACGTCAGGATACGTAAGCTGCAAGAAACAAGTATAGGTTTATTCCATGCTGAAAACATATTGACACACCTGAAGAAGGCTCCACAGCCGAAACGTTACAGACCTATACGTGGTCTTATGTTTTAGCCTAGTGCGTTACCAGTTAGGAACTAATGAGTTCTAAAACGGAGGACATCCATGACAAATACAACTAAAACTCGGTAAAAATAGCTAAAGCATATTTTATTTCAAAATTGTAACCTGTTTATCTGGAATGAAAACGTATATTTTTTTCAAGTCACATCATTACATAACATTACATAACAAAAATACTTAATGCTATCATAATTAAAATTCTTTAAGGGTATATTTTAATGAGAACAACGAACCTATAACCTACATATGATCTATGTTTAGTTTAGTTAAAAATTAGTGGTTCACAATGCAAAACAACATTTTATTGAACGGTGGAAGAAAATTCAATTAATTGTCTTGTTTTGTTTATGGTTTTGAATAGAGCAAAATCCAAAAATGGAGGTCGCTGCTTAAGAGAAAAACTGGACAGACTTGGGCTAAATTTACCTGCCGGAAGAAGAAAAGCGGCAAATGTAACTCTTTTGACGTCTCTAGTAGAAGGTAAGTATTTAGTTAATTCTGCTTATCTTTCTAATTGCTCATTTTCTCCTTTCAGTTGTCCGGTGTGTATGAGACGTTGTCTGGGACTAAACACTCTCTTTCTTTAACGTCTTGATTGTATTTTAACTCTTAATACTTTTATTTTTTTAACATGTTTCGAAAACAAAATCACATATCGAGTTTCATTTTCAAGGTGAAGCTCTTCACTTGGCCCGGGACTTCGGTTACACCTGTGAAACGGAGTTTCCGACAAAAGCTGTGGGGGAGCATCTAGCCAGACAACACATCGAACAAAAAGAGCAGACAGCTCGGAAGAAAATGATACTAGCCACAAAGTAAGCACAAGCTGATTTACCTTACCCCCAGAAACATAGATAAGGTAAATAAATAGAACGGTGAAGCCTGTTTGGTTTAAAATTTTGGCATCAATCAGAAAAACACTGTTTTTTCCCCCACATTTTACCGTACTGAATACAGTAAATGTTCAACTGCGACTGCTGGTGCAAAGGAAAAAAATGCGAAATGTTTTAATTTCAGACAGATTTGCAAGGAATTCCAAGATTTATTAAGCCAAGACAGATCTCCGCTTGGATCCTCGAGACCTACCCCCATCCTTGACCTAGATATTCAGAGACACCTAACACACTTCAGGTAAGGTCTTTCAGGGATTGTAGTTTTCTATAGGTAAACTACATACAAGTGACTAGTGGTCATAATTGTAGGTAATACCTGGATATTGTAATTGAGCAACTAAGGAAGGCTAACAGCACAAACTATGTTTAACATAATAAATACTATAAACCATGAATACACATTCTCTAGATCATTATTTATTAAATTGTGGCCTCTCCTCATACTCTTTGGAACTGACACACCACAAAACTGTTCACTATATTATAGCATCTAGATTGCGTTAACCTTTCTGCAACTAGTGTACCTTCTTCTATGTAAAAACATAATGCATACACATTTTTACATGCATTGAGACTTTGAAAAAGATTGAAAAACACGTGATCTAATCTAGATTGATCAAAACATCATGTCCACCATTTTATCACACAAGTTCATGCATCATCATATGTTTTTGTCCATTTAGTCCCAATCAAATTCTGGAATACATGAATTCCTTTTGTAATCTGCTTTCCCAGTTTGCAGACTTGAGTTCAATTCCCATTCTTTTATCTGCAATTGAAGCCATAACAGACTTTTAGTGTATAAACTTCCAGGGATATTACAAAATGTTTCAAGGGGACATCATTCCAGGTCTTATCGGGTTAAAGGTGTATTTCAGTCAAGTTGTATTTCAGAATCTTATCTACCAGGATACTTGTTCTTCTTCAATATATGTACTGGCACAAATCATGGGTGGTGACATGCCTGTACATTGTGTGGAAACCATAAGACCTGATCTTTAGGGTTGCAGTTCATTCTTCATGTGAAGTCTGTATAAGGGAGCTGTATGAAATGTTTCCTGGGGCAATTTCAAAAGTAAAAGACAATCCGTTCATGTTCCATGGGGTCATTTTTGGTTACCTGTTGGGCAGTGCCACAGAGAGTGTACCTATAATTAGTGTGGCTTGAATCACCAGATGATCACAGTAGTTGATCGGAAAATGAAAGGATCTTTTTGAGGGGGTACAGTACAATACTTTTTCAGGAGGAAAGTCTGTACATCAATCTGTCCATAGACAGCACAAGTATCCATAGGAAATATTGTTTTAGCTCACACTACCCATGGAATGCAATAATGGACAGAGGAACGGAGTCTATGCATAACAACTTTTAAAACCATAGTGTATTTTCCTACTAAGCATACAGGAAACCTTTTAATAACAGTAATCAGATAACACTTTTACACAGCCAGGCTGCAGTCCCTTAGAGCAAGAATGCTGATACTATCAAGCACACACTCTCAACATACGTCTGATTTAGATCACATGCAAACACAGAAAGAGCGAGAGCACATTATTACGAAAGTATTCATTTTATGAGTTTTTGGTATTGAAAAGCATGGATTTATGATAGATTCTTCACAAAATGTCAAAACAAAGCAATTTTCACAGATTGCATAATTTGTAGTTTAATGGGAATTATTTGCGTTATTTTGCACACATGTAATTATCCGTGGAATCATGACATTTTCCGTAACATTTGTAACATTTTCTCTTTTCAGCCTAATCACACATGGATTTGGAACCCCAGCTATCTGCGCTGCTCTCAGCACCTTTCAAACTGTTTTAAGTGAAATGCTAAACTACCTAGAGAAACACTCTACAAACAAAAACGGTGCTTCACCGGACTCCAATCAGATTAATACCAACTCTGAAAAAATTCCTTTGCGGAAAACAACAGAAACCCAGTCTAAAGATGGCAAAGTGGAAAAGACAGAGTAGAACATGCTTGCGTGGTTGAAAGAGCTTTTCTGCTGCTGAAGATTTTATAGTTTTGGCACAATGGACCAAACTCTCTAAGAAGACTGTACACATGTAAGATTGTAAAGAATTCCACATTTTATTTAAATACTGAATGTTGTGCTTGTAGTATTTTTTGTTCACCATTATACACACGATATTCTGCTGAAGTCCCTGAGTTTTAGATAGCATTCCCTTAAAGATGGGTATATAGTTATACAGTATAGAGACAAGAGGGTCAATGCTCTCTAACAGTTCACAAGAAATCACTCATATACATGCCCATTTTAAACAACACCGGAAGCTGCAAGGATATCAGAAAATCTCTCTTTTTTCAATGCTTGAAATGGCAATACATTACACACATTTAATATTTACAAATATTTCAAAGTATATTAATAAACCTGGATTTTTTATTGAAGCCTTTTATAATTAGAAACAAACTGTATATTATTCTCTCATTCTGTTTGCATCAATGAACATACTGTGTGTTGTGTGAAGCATCAGCTTTTCTCTATCTATTTAATTATCATTTGGTGCCTTATTTGGCTTAATTCTGGACCAAGTATGTTTGGGTCTTCCATTGAGCCTTTATATTGTTAACCATTTACTACACTGAGCAAACTATACCAACTGCATCCAATGAAAAATGAAACAGTTGATTGCTCCAGTAACACTTATGATGGGATCAATTGATTACAAACATTCTATGAATATCTTAATTCTGAGCAATAACTAATGTTTTTTTTTAAATTGCTGTTATAAATAAATTGCTGTTATATTACACTTTTGACATAGTGCTGCTTTATAATATAGTCTTATAGTATATACTGGGATTTGTAGTTTAATAATTTTATTTGTATTATTAAGGTTTATATATTGTTAATAATAGCCTATATCTCATATTTAAACACTACTACCAATATATTTTATTATTAATAATATATAAATGTTGTATTATTCTAGTAATAGAGAATATTAACAGGATCTTGTAGTTCACAACATTTTTATGAAACATAATACAACTTACAAAGGTGCACCATACTGCTTATTACTTCTAATAACTGTAACTGAATACAGCAGAATTAAAATGTTTGTGGATTGCTTGTAATCAATTAGGAGTCTAGTAGCATTTTCTACTTCATTAAGCTAAAAGGCCTTTGCAACAATACATTTTAAGCAGCATTAGACATCTTGTTTTACTTATTCTGTATAAAACAAACCACCCAAAAGATGCATGACACTTCTTGTAAGTATTCAAAAGTAACTCCATTTGATTGGGAACTGAAATCAAATGTATTTTGATTTTGAAAATCATTTTACTTTTGAAATTGGTTAATAATTCCAGTTGCTATATGGACAATGTATGCCTCCATAATAAACTGAATGCAGAGTCATATTTCTACTCAAGTAATGTATGACAGAAAAAAACAAACAAACATGCTATTGGGTACAATAAACTCAGAAGTGAAAGTAAAATCCCCCCAAAAGCTAGCTCCCCCTCTAACAGCCCCTGTAATACTTGAGAATGTTGGGAAACTGAAAGAAATCTTGCATTTAAAGTGAGTCCAACTTGTGTCCGATTAAAATTAAAATGAAAAGTGGTATGTGGTATAAATTAACTGATTTTGTATGTAGTATCAAATAAATACGTAAAATAATCAAGTTTCTATGGCCTTCTCCTGGAGGGGGAGAGAACTGGGAACAGCACAATTACATTTCCTTCTTTGTGTCTTGATTTCAATTTGTACTTTTCCTTGTAGACCTTTAACTGAATCAATGGAGCTCACAGACATCCATGATCAACAGAATGCGTGTTAGAATTATTTTCCAGTTGCATTTTTATTCTGCACCTTGTTGGTCTGGAGACTTTGTCATAAGTGTCTTTACTACATCTGAAAGCAAACAATTATGCTGTTATAGTACAGGATCATTTAAAATGATCAAACATTAGAATTACTTTTTTTAAGACAGGAATAAGACACCCACTCTTTACTGTAGCATTATTTGTTACGAATTACGTTTTTAGCATTCTGAGTTTTCCAAGATGAACTACAGTATGTGAATTGTGCTGCTGAAGTTCCCTTTGAAGCACCCAGAAGAAACTGATCAGTGTCCAGTGGTTTGTACACCACTTAATTGCTGAAATGTAGGTAGCGTAGATTCTTGCTTATAACTGCTGAAACTATTTTGCTTGCTAATCCAATTTACTGGTATATGAATTTGTTATCATTCTGGAATGCTCTTTTACAACCTACCTGTAAATCATTTATGGGTGTTATTTGAGAAAAAGAAACATTGGGTTGAGCAACAGCTAATATCAATTTTATATTTCTTTATATATAAATATCAGAACTATAATTTGACTCTAAGTAAATCATTATAATGGGACGTTTACCGACTCTGAATATTTGAATCAAGGGATTAAGTATAATGTTTTTAAATTGTACTTGAAAGATAATTGTTTTTGTATATTGAGACCTGTTTAATGTACTGTATATATGAACAAGTTGTAACTGTAAGTTTAATTTGTGTTTATTTGGTCACAAATAAAACATTGTCCAGTTTATTGTTTACATAATTCGTTTTTTTTGCAGACAAAAGTTTGGATATTGTGTGTTTTCAAATCCAAAGGCGAATGCTATTGAACATTTATGAAGCAACACTTCTTTCTGAGACATTCATTCCTTTCCATTGACCATTTGTCACATTTGTTTTGTAGGCTGAAGACAAATGGTCTGATCTGTCTTGAAATAAATTATTCCTTCATAATACCATATATACAACATAAAAGAACTTCTTTTTTATTGGATATAGTAGCTATGCCTCTCAGGTATGTCATTGCATCTTGGAAATCCTGCTGAATGGTGCCTATGTTTGAACAGTGTGCTTGTCATTTAACTGTGGGGTATTAACAGAAAATAGGAAATACAGAGCTGTGTAGTGGGATAAGGTGTTCCAGAAATGTTTGAATACAGGGTCAATGATATGACAAGAATGTATTAAAAGATTAATTTCCCAACATACTGTAGTTCCTGTTCACCTCTGTGAACATTCTTACTTCACAGGAGAGCTCATGATGGTTTGCCACAGTGATGCAAGCGTGTTTGGCACCCATTATTCCATAGTGTTCTTCAGGTTCATAAGTGTCTAGACAATGTTGCCAAGAAGGGATTTCTTTAGAGGCTGAAAGAAATGAATATTACATGAAGCCAAGTACTGTACAGAATGTACAGAATATGGCAGGTGGAAAAATACCAACAACATAGCCTTTGGAGTTGAAGTCAAGCATTTCCATGGAAGAAAAGTACATTTGCAGGTTGTTAATCAGCTGAATTTCATGTAAAAATATATTTGCTGCAATATTTAATACTTCAATCTGGAGTCTTATAAATTTATCAAAGACAGCTGCAATGATCATCACCTAGATCACCTAACACTTTTCTAAATAAAAAATACTAATTCAAACTGTCCTAAAGTAAATCATTTCTTACCCATATATATTAAGCCCATTTTAATTGTGGTGATTGATTACCATTCATGGATCCCAAGTAGATTGCAATTGTTCACAGTGGCATTTCTTACCAGTCTTTGAGTTAATTTCTAATACCTACCAATGTTACCAACACAAATTATTACAAATGATTATGTATTAGAGTGTTTGAACAGTTCCAGTCCGTTTATTCAGTGGCTATAGTATTCAGACCTTGGAGGATCCTAAATGTCCTTGTTGTTTTCCTTATTCACTCATGTTCATAATTTTATATCATGCAAGGTAAGGAAGGCATGTACATCAGGGCTGTTAACTGAATAAGGGAAGAGCTCAGATTCTCTCTACCCATATCTCTCCCTCATTTCCACTGCAAACCATAAGAAATACACAATGGGTGAAAGCTAGACTTCTTGAAGAGACCAAATCCATCATCGTAACTCATTGGTGACCACACTCTGAAATAAGCCATTTTTAAAACAGGTGTTATATAAAAATACTAAATACCACACACACAGTTCTCTTTAGCATACTCCAGAGAGATGTGCTGTGAGTGCAGTGGTTTGAATCTTTCTTTTTCCACTCATACCTGCACCACTTATAATTTCCACGTGTGTCCCTAGTTCCTTATTTTAGTGCCAGTCCTGAAGCAGTCTTTTAAATTATTATTAGTAGCACTCAGGATTTTGAGTACTTTTGTGAAGTCCCTTTATAATCACCTCTGTTAGACCCTCAAGCTCTTTTAACCTGTCTTCCTAAGGGAAAACATGTGACCCCACTGTCCACTGGCTTCCTTACCCTCATGACCAAAGATACCCAGTTTTGTTAGAAGAATAGGATGAGAATGATCTGACAATAACTAAAACCCTTGTGAAATCCTGTTCAAACACTCCTAGCTGTCTGCAGAGGCCACTGCTAGTGTTCCCCTGCTAGTGGTTGTATAAAAATACACTCTAAAATCTAATATTATGTACAATCAACCTTTCATAAAAGAGTCTTTGATTAATTTTACACATATTATTATTATTATTATTATTATTATTATTATTAGGCATTCAGAAAACTCCTAGGCTGTGTCTTGTCTTGTCGTTTTCAGCATAAGAACTCCAGTGTTTATTTCTCCCTCTCACTTCATACTCTGGTAACTGGTAACAGCATTATGTTGGTTATGAGAGACCATAAAATGCAAAGAATTAGATGAATGGCTACAAACACGGTTAAGAGTGATTTTACTTTTGAGAACAATGGGCACAATCACAGACGTTAGCCTATTTGCAATTGTAGTAAATAATAATTACAAATGAAGCGCCTACAGAATAAGCAACATGCCTTAATTAGAGTCTGTATCTACTGTATAGATTACAGTTGGTGCCAGCAGCCATGTTTGGATTTAAATTAGCACAATACTGAACAATTCATGTATAACATTCATGATATGTACTGTATCTCCTAAAACTAAAGATATCTATATTCTTAAATATCTCCTCTCAGATGCCAGCACGTCACCTCAGACTCCACCTTTTGACATCTGACCTACTCTGTGTTGTTCCCCTGTATTCTGATCTCTTTCTTTTGACTCCAACCAATTTCTCTGCCAAGAGTCTGGTGTTATCCTTCACCCAACCCTTTATCATCGACTTTCCTTCCTTAACATGCCGCTGTCCACTTATCATCAGAACATCAGCAGGAGGCGCCATTTATAACATCATATTTTCCACTGTTACCGATTTTCCTAGATGAGTCGACTAACAGCTCTCTCCAAGCTGGTTTTCCTGTATCACCACCTTGTATTCACACTGCCGTGCAGCCCCTCTTGTGTGCTCTTTTCACCAATTTTTTTGACTCAGATACAATTTTCGTCCTTTGTCCTTACATAAGGTTCCCTTTATTATTTTCTTTCTCCTAGATTCATTCCGGTATTTCGTCTCCAAACCTCCATTGTCCCCTTCGCCCATCTTCTGTTGATCCCGTTGTAGTTCCTTTTGTCTACTTTTCTGCCTCTGGTGCTGCTCTTTGGCTTTGCTCGAACCTCGGTTCTGCCACCAGATATCTAGAAAATCTCAGGCAATTTGCAGCACTAATAACTCTGCAATTGTGTTTCTTCAATTTCTGCTCTTTGATTTGCAATTACTTCACTTTGTGTTGACTGAGGCTATGCTTCACCTTAGGATTCTAACAGCTCCTATGCTTTGACTTTATGCTAAATAATTGCTTTCACCAATTTAATGTATTCATTCATCTTTCTGTATTTTTCTACAGTTGTTTACATTTCACTATTTTGAATCGCAGGTATACATGTTTTCAAACTAATCAATGTAAGATTTATCATCTTTGATAATGGCATTAGCTTGGAAGTTGTAATAATAGCAGTAATGGTGAATATGATAAGCCTGATCTGTTTGTCTTTTAACAGCCCTTTTTATTTTGTGCACCTATCTGTATGTTATGAAAAATGGTAGAAATGCTCTTCAATACCCAGTTTAACTTTAATTTCTATCGAATATTAATACCTATGAAGTCATTACTTTTGCTACAAATGTCAGTTGAGTTCCCCCTGCACACTGCACTCAAACTAACCTTTTCACATTCACACATTATTCATTGATGGTATGGGTTACTAAATGATTGACTATGCTAATTGCGTTCCTCATACTGCTGTACTGGATCACTTGCATTACATACTGCAGTGGAGTGATATATACTGTATATATCAGCTCTGTAATTACTTATTTGATCTTTAGAAAGTGTAATTTAAACTTTACACAGATAAGTCACCCTTCAAATAATAAATATGAAGACTACACTAGTGGCGATCACTGATACACTCTAGATTACAGGGCTTTTGAAATGAATTCCATTTGTTTCTGAGGTGAAAATGTAGAAGAAATTATAAAATTAGTTTTTTCTCCCCTCTGTGAGTAAAAGGGATACTACAAATCAGAAGTCAAAGCGGTTTCTCAAGGTTTTGTTACTTTCCATACAGTATATTCTGGAACATACACAGTGCCATACCAATTCTTATCTACAGTGCCTTGCACAAGCATTCAGATTCTTCCTACATTTTATCCAAAACCAGAATGCTGAAGATGAATACTTCTAAGGTTAAGAAAAGCTACAGTAAATGTCATAAAAAAAATAATGAAAATGAAGTATGTTGTTTGCATAAGTATGCAGTCCCATGATCTCAGTATTTGGTGGAAACATCTTTGGCAGCAATTATAGCTGCAGGTATCTGGGGGGTAAATCCTTACCAACTTTGCATACTGACTATATACATACCATTATTAGTTCAATAATGTTTTTTCCATTTCTTCTTGACAAACTTGCTCAAGCTCTCAAGTTGCTTGGGGATCACTTATGGACAGCAAATTTCAAGTCTTACAACAGATTCTAAATTGGAACTGACTGGAGCAGTGAAGGACATTCACTTTCTTATTTTTAAGCCACTCCAGCGTAGGTTCAACCTTGTGCTCTAGATCATTGTCCTGCTGAAAGGTGATGTTTTGTTCAAATTTAGCAGCTTTTCCTCTAAGATATGCTCATAGATATTAAAGGAGTATGGCATAATGGTGCAGTGATTAGGAGTGGTTAGGTCTCAATTCCTGGAGTACCATCTGCGAGGAGTTTGTCCACCCTGTACTCATGTGGATTTCCTCTAGTTGCTCCAGATTTCTCCAACTGTCCAAAGACATTCTGGTAGGTTAATTGGCTTCTGGGAAAATTGCCTCTGGTGTGAGTGTTGTGTGGCTGTATCTGTCTGCACTGCGATGAACTGATCTCCTGACCAGGATGTACCTGTCTTGTACCTGATAGGCTCTGGCTCTGTTGAGACCATGTGTTCGATAAAGTGGTTAGAAAATGAATGGATGAATATTAAGGGTGTTTGAAATTAATCCCCTTCTCCTGATCTATGCCTTTATACAGCTTACGTTGTTTTGAAAGCTCCTTGGTCTTCACCTAAATAAATTAAACTTTTCCATAGCAAAGCATTTAAATACTTTT